CTGTGTTAGTCTCGTTACCCCTTTAGTATTTTAGTTCCTGCTTCTGTTTAGTTCACCAGTGGTTCATTGTGTTGTCTATGATGTGTTCTGTGCGTGTGCTGTAGTGGGTTGTGTTTCATAGTTGATGTTAGATGTGTATCTGGGTTTTGTCATTTAGTTTTGTCAATTAATCCCTTTTTAGTTTTTGACCCCTTGTGGTCCTTTGTTTTTGGTTAGTCGTTTGTAGTGTTTTCTGTTTTATTTAATAAACCCCTTTTCTGTTCCTGGAGCCGCAAGTGGGTCATCCGCCCTTTCTGTGCCTGCACTATGCCTCGCTCCCGTGCCCGAGATGCCCGCAACCATGACAGACGTTAGCCAAAATAACAACTCCCCAATCTACTAAGTTAGCTAAGCATCATCTTAAATGATCAGACATGTCATTGAACAACAAAAATGGCTCAAAATTTTGTAGCACCGGTGGGGCGCATGCCCCGCGTGCAGCTGTAAATGCCCCTTGTTGTATTGTTGTTGTTAATGGTTGTATTTCCTTATAGTCGTGCATGTGTTTGCCCGTGTCTTGTGTGTACCCTGTCTGATCCTCGCGTGTATTTAGCTTACGTAAATCTCCCACCGTGTGTGCATCTTACAGTTCAGCGTCTGACAACTTTGTGTTTCCAGTGTTTAATTGGTTCGGTGCTCTTTAAGTGCCTGACATAGTCCTTTTAAGGACTACTAATAAAGAGCGTATTCTCCCCGATGAGTCTCCGTGTCTCCCTCAGCTTCTGTGACGCCTCGGTCCGACAGACGTCAGACTGAGAAGGAAGTTATGGAAGCCCGTTTCCGCCACCATGGAAAAAAAATATATATAATTGAAGTCGAAATTTCGATTTAATATCTCAAAATAACAAGATAACTAAGTCGACTTAAATTATATATATAGGCCATATGCACAAAGGAAATCCACTCCCAGGAGGGGAACAGCTACATTTGCGGTGATGAAATCCCAACTAAATTGCTACCTGCCAAAACGTAACTCCACGTACCTCGTGCCATAGGTGCGGATGGGGGTGCTATTTGCTGCTTCCAAGGGAGGCCCGTGTCCGTTGGCCAAGGTGTCGACCTTCGATGTGGGCAGAACGCTGTTTTGCGCACCCGTGTCGCACAGGAAACGTCATCCAGAGAGTTCGTCCCGGATGAACAGCAGCCTGCCTGCACGACTGACGCTCATGGCCGCAGCTGAGCACCGGCCATGGTGTTTCCCGTCCCCCGGAAGGCACATGGAGAACGGCACTGCTTAGCTTTGGGTCCAAATTTGGCATGTTAAAAACATAACCCAGGGTCTCGGCACCTTGTGGTTAGCGCCGCTGCAACAGTGATGTCGGCCACTGGTGGCGCAAGCGGTGGAGCCGGAAGGAACGAAGCCATGAAGTGCTGTTGACCAGCGAGGAAGAACTTATCAGCCTCTGCAGCCAGCGCGCGGCAGTCAGTAATGGAGGTGTTTGCTAAAGCCTCTCGTACCTGAGCCGGTAGCTGACGTAAAAACAATTGAACGAAAAGAAAATCCGGTTTGTGCTCACCCATGAGATTAAGCATTTTATCCATTAGCTCAGATGGCTTGCCATCGCCTAAGCCCTGAAGTGAAAAAAGCCGGCTGGCTCTCTCTGCGTCGGAAAGTTCAAAAGTGTCCAACAGGTGGGCTTTAAGTGCAGCGTATTTGTTGTGTGCCGGCGGGTGTTGAAGTAAGCTCACCACTCGGGATGCCGTGGAGCTGTTCAGTGCCGATACGACATAATAATATTTAGTGTTGTCCGCGGTGATCTCCCGCAGTGCGAACTGCGCTTCTGTCTGGGTGAACCATGCTGAGGCTGATGATTCCTAGAACTCGGGGAGCTTGAGAGAAATGGCGTTCGCGGTCATGGTCGCTCGGGGGAGTCTCTAGATACGCCTAGCAGACAAACGGGGTCACCAGTGTAGAAATTGGAAATAAAAACTCGGACAATTTCTCACTAACAGTGACGCACGTCACTCTCCTTTATTAACTTACAGCAGAAAAAATGCGCATAAAGCAAAAAGAGAAAAAGCAGTATCATACCCGAACCGTCCCATCACGTGAAGATGAGCACCGATTCTAATAGGTCAATCACCACCCGGATTAAGGTACAGATAGCCAATTACAGATACAGTATCAAACCTTCATGAACAACATAGACTTGATAGTATGGTGAATTATGCTCAATAAACTATTATGTGAAGTCGCTACAAAAAAGATATTTGTCTTTATGAAGGTTAACTTAATTCTCCCCTTTGATTCTACCACGAAATGCTGTTAGCAAGCAACATATTTAAAGAAATAGATAATAATTACTGAATTTCATTTTACGGCAGCTAAATTGTTGTTTCGTATATAAGAAACTGGTTCAGTAACTGTGTTATTGGTACCTTACGAAGTTCGCAGTGTTAATTGATGTTGATCTATTGTGCAGATTTATGAAAAGCATATTAGGTGGGGATCAACTGACAGGAACATGCAGGGGTGGAGCGTCCTTATGCATAAGGGTATACGCCCTTTTCAAATCTAGCTGCACTGAAACTATATTTGTGAAGCTTGCTCAGATAACAACAACTTTAGGTCCACTGTGTGTATTATTATAAAAAAATATGATCTGATCATCTAAGACAAAAATACTGGGGGGTGCCATTCATGGCAGGGTACCTGCCGGGAATTGCACCCCCTATCAATTCTGGCTCTGTATGTCCTACATAAATGAAATTTGCTCAGGTAGTACACTTTGCCACACAGAGTGTACTGTCAAAAGCATTTTGGGATATAATCACCAGAGACAGAGATACAGGGGGGGTGCCTTTCATGGCAGGGTACCTGCCGGGAATTGCACCCCCTATGAATTTTTCAGGAAAATGGACATCCAATTTTAAATTATTTTTATGCGTTATGGAGTGACCTACAGTTAGATACAGAGGGCTGCTTTATGTCAGGATTCCTTTTTCAAGTAATGTAAATATCAGTTGCTAAACTTGTCATGTATGTTTTGGTACCAAAGTTTGCGTCATGATTCACAGTTAAAATTACAGGTTCAACGCCAATGATCTTCAATGCCAAAAAAATGAATATGTTGCCTCATAGAAACACATGTAATGCACTGTACCTACACAGATTATGAACTAGACCTTGCTGAAGTCAAGTCGGCATCAAATTGGATATAATGTAGAAAATTAATGTTCTAGTTGTAATTATTCATTTCAACATTAAAGTTTTCCTATAGATATCATTTGAGATTCAATAGGCAAATTATTTTGTGAAGGTATAGAAACTTTAATAACAAATACAAGTAACAATTCCAACAATGACTACAAACTAAAGGCTTAACATCAAAAATTAATGGATAATAATAATAATAATGTTAGAAAACAAAAGAGTAAGGCCATATTAAAATAAAAGCAATAAGCAAATAAGTAAAATTAGTCACGTTGTCAAATAAATAAATAAAATAAATAAGCAAGCCTACATAAAACACAAAACTAATAAACTGACAATTACTTATGTGCATGCTGGACAAATATAGTCCTGATCAACAGGAGGATTCTGCATGCAGTCGTGGTGGTACCATCTGCTGCAAACATCACAGCATACCTAAAGGGAAGGGAGAGTGTTTCCATTAAAGTACAGTTAAGACTTATCATATTAAGTATTCATAGCAATTAATGTAATCATAATAGGAAATTCAGGGAAAATTGTTGCCTACATATAATAGCAGTTGTCCTAAAACATCAGTATATAGAACAAATAGATGAGAAGAATAAGGGTGACAGGCCATTGATATAACTGCTCAACTTAATGGCTGTAAACATTTTGCAAAGACCAATACCAACTGGTTCACTATCTGCCCTCATATCCTCACTGACTATCTGACAGGTAAATACTCTATCAGTGACTCCTGTTGGAGTTAGTGTCCAGTGTTTCATGAAATTACTTGTGCATGTTACAGCTGGAAACTCACTTGCACTGTGCAATAGTGAATTTCTTATCTGTTATCTAGCAAAACATCCAAAAAGCAGCCTGACTGATTGTTAAATCCATTTGCCTGTACGTTTTTGACTGAAAGACTGTTTCTCTCTAAAAGAGAGAAAAAATAAAAATAAATGTTTCATCAAGTCCAGGAGGAAAAAGCACAGTGGGATGCTTTTTAAATCCCCAAATCCACTCAGTATTGCTTATGGTTTAAAAAGGCAGCCACCAGCTTGATAAATATATACACCATTATACAAAATAGAAGCAGAAATTTGCTAATAATAATGACAAACACTAGACACGTATGTCAAGTTAGTGTTCTGTTCCTAGAGCTAGAACCAGCAGCTACTATGACCCCTGAATACTCAATCCACACCCATGAAAAGAAAAGCAATACCTTTTGTTTTACTACATTATTATTCCATAAATTAATCTTATAAGTAAGCTTATCACT